TGGCTATCTGGTTGGCGCTGGGCGTGGTCCTGGACCGCCAGGTGCACAGGTCGGGAGCGCCTGGCCGAGGAGAACAGGGCACCCAGTCGAATCAGCCAGCGTTGGCTTGGGGCCAGTCTTGTTGTCTCCTGGTCCGCGCGGCGACGTGTGACGAAACATGCGGTCGATATCGTCGCCCGGTGGGAGGCGCCGCTCCCGCGAACGGCAGTGCCTGGTTGAGGCACACCTGGAATTTCTCTGGCGCCCGTACTCGCGTGCCGCAGCCTTTGCGCTCCTGGTTGCGCGCGCGGCAGCGCTGCCGTGCAGCGCACTCTGGGCAGCGTTACGGGCACCGCCATCGCAACGCCAGCCGGCGCGACGTTCACCGGTAGCGCGACGCTTGCGCAGCACAGCGTGATTCAAGGGTGCGCGGGTGAAAAGCACGACGGGGCCAGCAGACGACCAGGGCAGAAGCAATGCGCGAAGCGGTACCAGTGCCACCGGCAGCACTATGGCAGCCACCACGACCAGCACTGGCAGCACCACTCGATGCAGCCCCCACACAACCAGCAGCACCACTTGCAGCCGCACCAGCGCATCCAGGTGCGCCTACCACGTCGTCGGCAGATAAAACCATTTCCTTCATGCATTACGCTCCGCTAGCCGCCGGCCACACCCGCCTCGAGGGGGGAGTTCAGGACATGACGGCGTGGCCTTTCCTATAGTGTTATGGCCTCCACGGTCTACCAGTGCATCTACATCGGCGTCATGGCGACGACCGCGGGCAGCATGACTGGAAGCATCACCAGTGAGTGTTGCAGCACGAGCGCGACGCGCGGCTGCATCAGCGCATTCGGCGGCACCAGTGTGGCCATCACGACTGCTACCAGCAGCGCCGCGCGCCACCACGAGGCCATTGTGTGCAGCCAGCCACTCGTGGGCCAAGCACGGCGCCTGAGGGGCTCACCGCTCCTCCTCTTCCTCCCCCTTCGCGCCCCCCCTCGCCCATTTCGCTGTTAGGGAAACGAAACTCTGAGGTCCGCGCGGATTTCTCGGATCGTCGCTGGGGCCCCCCCTGCGGCGCTTCCGGCGCCGCCTCTGGAGCGCTCCGCGCGCCAGGGAAGGGGGGGGGCCCAGCGCGGATCCGAGAAATCCGCGTGGACTTCCGAGTTGTTATGCTTATGTGATTGTTCGTTTCCCTAGTTGTGGAGACCTGACACCGCGTCCGCATGTGGTCGCGCCGCCAGTCCCCCCAAAGAGTGCCGCGCCGCCAGTTCTGGCCCGCCCACCACACACTGCGGAGCGCCAGGCTGACCCCTCCCCTCTTCTCCTCCGCGTCGGCGCCCCGAGCCTGTCCCGGCCTCCCGCCACGCGGAGCGGAGAGCAGCACGCCATCGGAGCGGGGTCGTGTGACGCTGGGGGGCGATCACTTCTTTTGGGGGGGGCGGGGCGGCGGCGGCAGGGTGGAGGGGCAGCGAGGGCGGCAGAAACGGGGCTTTTCAGGGCCCCTCAAGGGGGCCCAGGAGGGGGCCTTCATGGCCCGAGAGAGGGCACCTCCCTTCCCCCCTCCCCAGCTATCGCCACCCAAGAGCTCGCGCCCAGTGACGAAGCATATCGAAAGAAAAGGTGCCTCAATAGATCGTCTTCTTTTTCACTGTTTTGCCGATCGGCGCGGGCCCTCGCACCCCTTTCTGCCCCCCCGCTATGGAGTAGATCTTGGCTGTTTCTGGCGCCTGTTTCAAGCCGGCGGAGTCTCCCCCGTAGGACGCACTGTTGCAAGCAGTCGCATTCAGTTCAGGTCTGCAGCCAGAACCCCACCCCACCCCTCCTGGCCAAGATCGAAACACCGACTAAGACACGCTCACCAAGACACACGGGGCTCCAGAAGAGCGGCCTCGCCCTTGTGGCTGGCGCGTCAGCGCCCTCGGCGGCATCCTCCGCGACAAAAGCAGGGCGGCGGCGGCGGCCCTTCGCCGACGGAGGCCCCGGGGGGACGGTCGGCGGAAGGCAGGCGGAAGCGAGAGGGAGACGCCCCTTCGGCGGCGAGCGAGGGGGGGGAGTGAGAAGGAGAAGGCCGTCTCTCAGAGGGGGATCAGGTACCCACACCGCTACCCCTCGCCCCGTGTTCCCCTTTTTGGGGCTTCTGGGTGGCCTTCGCCGCCACCGCTGGATTCGCCTCGAAACTCTGGTCAGAATGCACCCAAGGAGAGGTCAGCAGAGCAGCGGTATCGGTACCTTCCAGTTTACCCATTCTCAGAAGGCGGCGGGATTTCTCACAAGCGCTCGCGCCTTCCGAGAAGCTTTCTGCTTTCGGGGAAGGCTTCGAACACTTCTCAGAAGGACGGGGGACTTCCGAGCCTTCGGAGAAGGCCCGCCCCTTCTCACTTCCCCCTGGGCTCGTCGCCGATCAACATTTTGGGGTTCAGGGAGTTTCGTCGTCCCCGGGTCACGGTCAGTTGCCTCTCTGTCGTCACCCAGAGGCTGCGCGGGGCTGGTTGGCGTGGGTTTTGCTTTGGGGAAGACTGGCTGCTCCGGGTTGCTGGGCGTTGCCACGCGGGGGCCACGGGCCCGCACCTCCCCGCCAGTGCTAAACCCTGGCCTGGGGGAGGGAGCAGCGGAGGAGGGCTGGGCCACACCAGCAGGAGCGCGAAGGCCGCGCCTCGCGCAACGCGGCCCGGGCTGAGGATGGGGTGCGCTCTGCACCAGAGGACCCCCCAGGGGACCGCGGGACCGGGCGAGGATACAGCGGGCGCACCGGGCAGGGACTTTGCCCGCCAACGGGTTCCCCGCGATGAGCTGTTCTGTCCCGGTGGGCCGCAGGGCCCCAAGGCACTTCACGAAGCTCAGGGTCGTCGAGGGATGTGCCCGCTGATTTCTAACGGCAGCATTGCTAATCGTGTGTGGCTGCTGCGTCAGCACCCCCAACGATTCGCGCAGCGCTGGGCGTGAGGTGGCACGAGGGGACCTGGGCGAGCATCCCACACGCCCTGCAGAAGCCCCGAGCAGGCGCGGGCTGGCGGATCTTGGGCCGGCCCGCGAGAGAGGTTTTCGCAGCATTGGCGCGGGCCAGCGAAAGATGCGGGGTTCAATGTGCACGCTGCGTCCACGTCGTCCGCCCTGCCCACAGCGGCGCCTCACCGCATCCATCGATCTTGGCAGCACGCTCCTGATTGACTCAGCTCGGCCAGATCCTCAGCCGTACACGCGCGGTCCTGGATAAGAAACCACAGTTGTGTGTGTGTGTATGTGAATCCATTGCGTGCTTCCTAGGTTCTGCCTGCATCAGGGTCTGCAGAGCATCTACGTGCAGGCCTGACCGAGGCCTGAGTCGTTCTGAAGCGAGTAATTTCGTGCTCTCACTAGGGGTGTACTCTTCGTCATCGTTTCCGTCGGACCCCACCCACCGGCGCACCCGACGAGGCGAAGAAGAGCAAAAAAAAGTGACGGGCCTGCTTTCGCAGGGGGTTGCCCAGTCTACAGTGTCGGCTCCCGGCTGCACCCTGTATGAGCGCCGCCTGCTGCAAAAGCGCGAGAGGAGGAGGAAGAGGAAGAGGAGGAGGAAGAGGAAGAGGAGGAGGAGAAAGAGGAGGAGGAGGAGGAGGAGGAGGAGGAGGAGAAGGCGGTCAGGGTCCAGACATCGGAGTTTGCCGGAGGTGATCCTGGCCCGCAGGGTGCCCTCAGCGCTCCGGGCAATCTCGGAGCCCCGTGTGGCCTTCTGGGCCCCTTCGGGAGGCGGCTCTGGAGGCCATCGGGCCAGGGGCCACCTCCGGCAACATCCGAGCTGCTGGGGGAGCGCACGGTGCAGCTGCCCTGCCACGTGCCCCACCGTTCGTCTTGTCGCTTCCGTGCTCACGGAGGGTCGATGACACGATCGAGACGTGTCCCCAGACCCCCGGCTGCTTTTTGCCTCCCTGCTGCTTCTCCTCTTGCTCTTCCCCCCTGCTGCTGTCCCTCCCCTTCCCCTGAGCCACGGGGCGACCTCTCGCGCAGGTAAGAAAGTGTCCCCAGACCCCCATCGAGTCGTGAACAAAGCCACACGGCGGACGGTGTTCCGCTATTTTCGACCTCTGGGGGCCCTCGCTGGGCCCCAAGAGGCGTCACGAAACAACGCAGGATGAAAAATTGGTCCCTGGGAATAGGTCGAGACTTCTGTAGGTCGACATAATGAGAAAGCATGATGCCGAGGGTCTGGGTTCGGCCTCAAAGAGCTGTGGTGGCCCCGCCTCCTTGGTGGGCAGGGAGCCTAAAGTACAAGTCATGGTCAGGCTTTTTCGGGTCAGGGCCTGTTCGGTTGTTTCCCGCTGGCATCCTGTCCTTTGGGATGGGACCAGCATTAATGTTGGACTGAGGGCATCAGGGGATGGAACGGTCAGGCACAATGACCATCTGCAACCTCCATGGCTGCCCCTCTTCTGCTCTAGAGTGGAAGTGGCCAGACAGCAGGTAGCATCCAGATTTGTCGGGAAGGGAACAGCGCTGAGCTGTTGACACACCTGCAGGGCTGATACCATGCAGATTAGACGCAGCCCTGCGATGCATCAAGAAATGGCTGCTTCCAGAGTGAGGGTGTAAACATCTCGCGAAATCTCAGTGGATCGAGACCCCGAGCAAGAGTAGTGCATTGCTAGGTGCTTCTTACAAGACTCACCAGTTGAGACTAGGACTTGTTGCACGAACATTCCAGCGGCCCGCCCAGACTTTCCAGTGAACTGTCAAATGGCTTGGTCGAGGCCGTCCCTTGCCACCCAGTGGATTGTCCAGTGCCCCCGAGAACCACCAGAACCGTTTTACAATGACGCGCTGGAGAGTAGTTGGCTGTGTTCCACCTCCCACTTGTGTGGCCCTCTTGGGTATCGAAATAGACAATCGGCATCAAACCTGCACGTTTAGTAGGCCCATCGAGCTCACTGGGTCTCGGAGGGGTCCGGGCACTTGCGGGCGGTCACAGATTCGCGCGGGGGGCGCGATCGAGGGACGCGCCATGGTCCAGATAGTGCGGCCCGCCGCCACTCGACGCCGCGATGAAGGAACGGCCATGGGGCGCGCGCTGGCACAGGGCTTCTCCCTCCTCGAAGCGCCAACTGTCGCGGCGGCGCTGCGGGGAGGGCACTGCGCTCTTCCTACCATTCTCTTCTTTCTGAGCTGGCATCTCATTTTTCCCTCTCATTATCATACGCTTGATGCCAGTTCCTGCACCCTGGCGCTCCTTGCGGCACCCCTGCCAGGCGCGCCGCGAAGCGCGACCTGGCCCGGGGGTCCGACGGGGGCGCCGGCATCACTTGACGTGGGTGTGCGAGTACCTGTGGGGAAAAAACACATTGTAGGAATAAACACACGTCTGTTGGGAAAAAAAACACACAGTGGAACAAAAAACACACAATGTGTGCGTTTTTCCCCGCAGTGTGTGTGTGTGTGTGTGTGTGTGTGTGTGTGTGTGTGTGTGTGTGTGTGTGTGTGTTTTTACCTAACAGCTTTTGCTGATTACCTAACAGCTTTTGCTGATAGGTTTCTAGTGGTGTCAAAAGAGAGCATCTGGACTCCACAGGGGGGTCTGGGCGGGTGCCGGGGAGGAGGGCCGGGAACAGAGCCGGGCTCGTTTTAAGCCAACAGTCACACACTTCGTGCTCTTCGACCTCCCAGAACTCCATTCCCGGGCCACATTTTGAATAACCGGAGCCAACTGTAGGCCACTTCGTGCTCTTCGACTTCCCAGAACTCCATTCCCGGGCCACATTTTGGATGCCCGGAGCCAACTGTAGGCCACTTCGTGCTCTTCGACTTCCCAGAACTCCATTCCCGGGCCACATTTTGGATGCCCGGAGCCAACTGTAGGCCACTTCGTGCTCTTCGAGTTCCCAGAACTCCATTCCCGGGCCACATTTTGGATGCCCGGAGCCAACTGTAGGCCACTTCGTGGTCTTCGAGTTCCCAGAACTCCATTCCTGGGCATGATTTTGAATGCCCGGAGCCAACTGTAGGCCACTTCGTGTTCTTCGAGTTCCCAGAACTCCATTCCAGGGCCACATTTTGAATGCTGAGGCAGGCTGAGGCTGAGGCTGAGGCAGGCTGAGGCTGAGGCAGGCTGAGGCTGAGGCCGAGGCTGAAGGCAGACTGAGGCTGAGGCTGAAGCAGGCTGAGGCTGAGGCTGAGGCAGGCTGAGGCTGAGGCTGAGGCAGGCTGATGCTGAGGCAGGCTGAGGCTGAGGCTGAGGCTGATGCAGGCTGAGGCTGATGCAGGCTGAGGCTGAGGCCGAGGCTGAAGGCAGACTGAGGCTGAGGCTGAAGCAGGCTGAGGCTGAGGCTGAGGCAGGCTGAGGCTGAGGCTGAGGCAGGCTGATGCTGAGGCAGGCTGAGGCTGAGGCTGAGGCTGATGCAGGCTGAGGCTGAGGCAGGCTGAGGCTGAGGCCGAGGCTGAAGGCAGACTGAGGCTGAGGCTGAAGCAGGCTGAGGCTGAGGCTGAGGCAGGCTGAGGCTGAGGCTGAGGCAGGCTGATGCTGAGGCAGGCTGAGGCTGAGGCTGAGGCTGATGCAGGCTGAGGCTGAGGCAGGCTGAGGCTGAGGCCAAGGCTGAAGGCAGACTGAGGCTGAGGCTGAAGCAGGCTGAGGCTGAGGCTGAGGCAGGCTGAGGCTGAGGCTGATGCAGGCTGATGCAGGGTGAGGCTGAGGCTGAGGCTGAGGCTGAGGCTGATGCAGGCTGAGGATGAGGCAGTTGACGGCCGAGGCCGAGCTGAAGGCAGACTGAGGTGAGGCTGAAGCAGGCTGAGCTGAGGCAGAGGCAGGCTGAAGGCTGAGGCGAGGCAGGCTGAGGTGAGGCGAGCTGAGGCTGAGGCCATGCAGGCTGAGGCTGAGGCAGGCGGAGGCTGAGGCCGAGGTGAAGGCAGACTGAGGCTGAGGCTAAGCAGGCTGAGGCGAGGTGAGGCAGGTGAGGCTGAGGCCGAGCAAGGCTGAGGCTGAGGCTGTGCCTGCGACTGCCTTTGCCATGGACTGTCATCGCGGAATGCGACTACGACTGCGGAACAGAGCAAGAATTATACAATGGGATTCTCCTCCGAATCTTAAGGGGAATGCTTCCCGATATGGCTCCTACACATCGCGTTAGGTTGCTTTGCCGCTTTGCCAGGATAATATGTTTCGCACGGCATTTTGAATAACCGGAGCCAACAGTCACACACTTCGTGCTCTTCGACCTCCCAGAACTCCATTCCCGGGCCACATTTTGGATGCCCGGAGCCAATTGTAGGCCACTTCGTGCTCTTCGATTTCCCAGAACTCCATTCCGGGGCCACATTTTGGATGCCCGGAGCCAACTGTAGGCCACTTCGTGGTCTTCGAGTTCCCAGAACTCCATTCCTGGGCATGATTTTGAATGCCCGGAGCCAACTGTAGGCCACTTCGTGTTCTTCGAGTTCCCAGAACTCCATTCCTGGGCATGATTTTGAATGCCCGGAGCCAACTGTAGGCCACTTCGTGTTCTTCTAGTTCCCAGAATTCCACTCCTGGGCCACATTTTGAATGCTGAGGCAGGCTGATGCTGCTGCGGCCGAGGCAGGCCTGATGCGAGGCAGTCTGAGGCTGAGAGCCGAGGCTGAAGGCAGACTGAGCTGAGGCTGAAGCAGACTGATTCTGAGGCTGAGGCTGAGGCTGAGGCTGAGGCTGAGGCTGAGGCTGAGGCTGAGGCTGAGGCAGGCTGATGCTGAGGCAGGCTGAGGCTGAGGCTGAGGCTGATGCAGGCTGAGGCTGAGGCAGGCTGAGGCGGAGGCCACGGCTGAAGGCAAACTGAGGCTGAGGCAGAAGCAGGCCGAGGCTGAGGCTGAGGCTGAGGCTGAGGCTGAGGCTGAGGCTGAGGCAGGCTGAGGCTGAGGCTGAGGCAGGCTGATGCTGAGGCAGGCTGAGGCTGAGGAGGCTGAGGCTGAGGCTGAGGCTGCATGCAGGCTGAGGCTGAGGCAGGCTGAGGCTGAGGCCGAGGCTGAGGCTGAGGCTGAGGCAGACTGAGGCTGAGGCTGAAGCAGGCTGAGGCTGAGGCTGAGGCAGGCTGAGGCTGAGGCTGAGGCAGGCTGAGGCTGCTGAGGCTGAGGCTGAGGCTGAGGCTGAGGCTGAGGCTGATGCAGGCTGAGGCTGAGGCAGGCTGAGGCTGAGGAGGCTGAAGGCAGGAGGCTGAGGCTGAGGCTGAGGCTGAGGCTGAGGCTGAGGCTGAGGCTGAGGCAGGCTGAGGCTGAGGCTGAGGCAGGCTGAGGCTGAGGCTGAGGCTGTGACTGCGACTGCCGTGCCACTGCGACTGTCATCGCGAATGCGACTACGACTGCGAGAACAGCAGAATTCTACAACTGGATTCTCATCCGAATCTTAAGGGGAATGCTTCCAGATATGCTCCTACACATCGCTGTTAGGTTGCTTTGCCGGGATAATTTTTGTTTGTTTGTGTGTGTGTGTTTTCCCACAGTGTTTTTTTTCCCACAGATGACTGGTGAGCGGCAGCTGCCGAGTGCGGCGGGCAGGGCCGCGGCGCGGAGCGGAGCTGGGCGAGCCGGCGGCGCCGGGCAGCGCCGAGCCGACGGAGCTCCGCGGCCCCTGCCCGGCCTGGGCTTCGCGGCTGGGGCCGGGCGGCCCCGGCCCTGCCGAGCTCGCCCGCGGCCCAGCGCCGGCGACGCCGCGGCGGCTCGCCGCGGCCGGCCGGGGCGGACAGTGCGACGCGCGCGGGCTTCCCGTGCCCGCTCGCTTGCCGCCTGTAGTTGTCATGTGTTTGTCAGCCTCTCCTCGGGGGCCACATGTGAACCCTACCCCCACCCTCCACGATTTCTGAGGGGGAGGGTGGGGTTCACTTCGCTCAGAAATCGTGGGGGGTAGGGGTAGGGTTCACATGTGGCCTCCATATCTCCTCCTCTTTCGCCCCGTCTCACCTCCCTGGTGTGCCGCCGTCGTGGCTCACAGGGGCCCTTGTGTCAGTCGCCTGGGGCGCAGGCGACGGGCGCGCCCTGGCCCCAGGACAGAGAACGTGCTCTCTTCTAGCACGGGTCCCCCTACTTGTACTTCGTGTCTCTCTGTATTCCATAGGGTTACTCCCGTACATTCAACACCGCCGCTGCCGGCTGTTGCGCGGAGCGCTGCGAGCGCTGCGCTGGGCCGGGTCACCTCCGCTGGGCGCGAGCGCCCGCGCCCGGGTGGGCGGTGAGAGCAGGCTGGCGGCGGAGCTTTTGGGGACCGCCAGGTTCCGGAGGGGCCTGTCGAGGGCGGTGGAACAGAATCCCCGCGCGTAATATATATAAATATATATATATATATATATATATGTGTGTGCGTGTGTGGAGATCCGCGCAGATGCCTCGGATCCGCGCGGATATCTCGGATCCGAGCCGACGGGGTCCAAACAGAGAAACCAGAAATTGCATAAGCAATGTTTCCCGGAGGTCCGCGCGGATCTCTTGGATCGGTGCTGACCCCCCTCTTTGGTGCGCTCAGCGTGCTAAGGGTGCCCAGCGCCGATCCGAGAAACCAGTGCGGAGCGCCGACAGTTCTTGTCAGACCATGTTTCCTGTACTGTGCTCGGCTTCTGGCTGGGCTTATTCCGTCTGGAGCGCGTCCATATTCGGAGCAAGTGCGTCTGCTCTGCGGTATTTTACCGCAATGTCTTGTGGGGGCCTGGCGTTCAGGACCCAGGCAAATCCATACCCCATTTTCTAAAAAAAGGAACCAGAAAACGGCATAAACATGATTTCTCGGAGCTTCGCGCGGATGTTTCGGATCGGCGGTAGACCCCCCATCCCTGGCGCGCGGACCGCGTCAGGTAAGGCGCCGCCTGGGGGGCCACACCCCAATCCAAGAAATCCAGGCGGCGGTCCGAAACATTATGTTGATGCATGTGTTTCTTCTGCGAATATGCGGCAAGCAAGGGGGGAAATGAGAAGGAGGAGGAGGCCTTCTCAGAAGGCGGCAGGGCTTCTCAGAAACCCTCCGGCCTTTTGAGAAGCTTGCGTGTCTGACGGGAAGGCCTTCTGGAAAGGCCTCCTCCTCGTAACCACACAGGTCACCCCCAACGTGAATGATGTTTGGGTCCGAGCGTTGGCCCGCCAGTCGGGCCCCGCAGATCCACGCACGCAGCCCCCTCGTATACGCGCGCGGCAGGCGCGCTCGCCGCTGCGGCCGCCACGCCGCCACCGTCGCGCGGCCGCCGCAAACCGCGGCCTCCACCAACTCGCGGGGCATGTTTCGCCCAGCGCAGCTCAACAGTTCCCCCCCTCCCCTTCCACCTCTCCTCCTCCGCCTCCTACTCCTGCCCCCCCTCATCCTCGTCCACCTCATCTTCCTCCTTCGCGTCATATCATTCATCCTCCTGCTCCTCCTCTTCTCCCTGCTCCTCCTACTACTGTATTCCTCCTCCTCCTCCTCCTCCTCCTCCTCCTGTTCCCCCTCCCCCTTCTCCCCCTCCACTTGGTCCTCCTCCTTCTCCCCCGTCTTCATGTTCTGCCCCTTGCCCTTGGCAACGCCACGCTCGAGGACTGTTGAACCGCGGCGGCGCCCAGAGTTCAAAGGTGCTGGACAGCGTCGCACTATTGAACTTTCGTGGCGCGTGGCGTCACGGTGCGAGACCCGCCTGGACTATTGAAGTCTGGGCGCCGCTGAGGTTCAACTGTGCTGGACCCCCCGCATCATTAAGCTCTGGGCGCCCCCGCCGTCGCCCAGTGGGCCAGCCAGGACCGCCGCCGTTGACCCAGTCATGGCGCCCCCAGATCTTAATAGTACCCCCCCCACGCTCGAAACGATTAAACTCTGAGGCCCCGCTCGTGCGCCAGGAGCGTCGGCACCGGGCCACCCGGGAAGGTGCGCGGGGGATAGGGAGGAGGAAGAGGAGGAGGAGGAAGAGGAGGAGGAGGAGGAGGAGGAGGAGGAGGATCTCCCTCCGCCTCCCCCTCCTCCTCCTCCTTTTCCCCGTCTCCTCCTCCTCCTACTCCTCCGCCTCCTTCCTTCCTCTCCGTTCCTCCTCCTTATCATGATCCTCCTCCTCCTCCTCCTGCTCCTCCTCCTCTTCCTTCTCGGTTTTGAACGGGTCCCATGCCCTACAGCACTGGGGAGAATACAAACTTGCCTTTTGCAGTAAGTGCGGGATGTCAGCGACCACCTTGTGTGAAAGGCCCGCCCAAGATTGCCACATAAGCCAATCTCGAGGATCTGCGCCAGTAATTTCACAGTCTCGACGTTCGTTGTCGCATGCCATACAGTGCTATAGTTATCCTCCTCCTCCTCCTCCTCCTCCTCCTCCTCTTCAAGGGGGGAGAGGGAGGACGAGGCGGAGGAGGAGGAGGAAGAGGAGGAGGAGGAGAAGGAACAGGAGGATGAGCAGGGGGAGGAGGAGGAGGAGGAGGAGCAGCAGAGGAGAAGTGAGAGGGGGAAAAGGAAGAGGAGGAGGAGGAGGAGGAGGGGATGAGGAGTAGTAGAAGGAGGAGGAGGAGGAGGAGGTGGGAGGAGGAGCAGGAGCAGATGAGGAGGAGACAGAGCAGAGAGCGAGGAGGAGAGGAGGAGGAGAGGAGGAGGGAGGAGGAGGTGAGACGCGGACGGGGCGGAGGAGGAGGAGGAGGAGGAGGAGGAAGAGAAGGACGAGTGTGGGGGGGGGGCGTGGAGATGAGGAGGAATAAGGAGACAAAGGAACGAGGGGAACATATATCCCCCCCCTGCTCCCTCCTTCTGCCACTCCCTCGCTTCTCCCCCATCTTCGTCGTCGTCGTCCTCCTCCTCCTTCTCCTCATCTCCTCCTCCCCCATCTTCTCGTCGTCCGTTCTCGTCCTCCTCCTCTCTCCTCCTCCTCCTCATCTTCCTTCTCCTCCCCCTCTTCCTCTCGCGGTCATCGTCGTCGTCGACGTCATCATTCTTCTCGTGTTGTCCTCGTCCTCACACCTCCTCCCTCCTCCTCCTCCTCTCCTCCTCCTCCATTTCCTCCGCACTCCCCCATTTTCCTGCTCCTCCTCCTCTCCTCGTCCTCCTCCTGCTTCTTTCCTGTCCCTCCTCCTCCGCCTCCTCGTCGTCCTCCTCCTCCTCACCCCTTCCTCCTTCCTCCTCCTCCTCCTCCTCCTCCTTCTCCTCCTCCTCCTTCCTCTTCCTGCTGCTGCTGCTCGCTGTTACGGCTCCCTCCTCCACTCCTCCTCCTTCTTCTCTCTCCTCCTCCTCCTCCCTCCTCCTCTCGTCCTCCTCCTCCTCCCCCCCCGTCTCCTGCTCCTGCTCATGCTCGTCCTCCTCCTCTCCTCCTCCTCCTCCTCCTCCTCCTCCTCCTCCTCCTCCCCCCTCCTCCTCCTCCTCCTCCTCCTCCTCCTCCTCGTCCTCCTCCTCCTCCTCCTCCTCCTCCCCCTCCTCCTCCTGCTCCTCGCCCTCCTCATCAGTATCCTCATCCTCCTCTTTGTCGTCACCCTCACCACGCCCTCATCTCCCACGTTGGCATCGTAACCCCATGCCATATTGCCGTTACTTTCGCGCTTACCTTCGTTGACTCCCCGTTCTTTCTTGTTCCCATGTGTTGCCAACCTTGGCGCGAGCGCGGCTACATCGTTGCGGTCGCGGCCCCACGCCGCGAACCCGAGGGGCGGGTCGTTTGGCCAGCGGCTTTAGCACCTGTTGCTCCACCCGCGGGTCGGTCTGCCCTTGATGTTTGGGGGGGAACTCACCATCTCCTCCTCACTTCCGCCCCTCGCTCGCCGCCGACCTTTCCCCCTGCCCCCCCTGGTGCCCAGGTGGAGCAGAGGTGCTGGCCTTCCCTGTCGGCCGACGAGGCGAGGTCGTGGACGGAGGCGGCGTGGCCCGAGGGGACCCAGGAGATCCGCTGGAGGGGAGGAACTTCACTGCTTACCAAACCACTCCAGCCCAACCAGAAGGTCCCAGACTCCCCCAAATTTCGGGTTGGAGGGTGCGCGGGTTCCATGGTGTTTCCTCAATCTTATGGAGTGCCCCCCCACCAGAAATTTACGATCCCAACGGTGATTTCGGGCTGGGTTGGGGTGGTGTGGGGTAGGTGGTCAGAGAGGGGGTGAGGTGGGGGAGGACAAAGAAGGAGGGAGAGGATGGAGGAGGAATAATACGTGGTGGTGGGGGGGGAAGGGCACGGGGGAGGGGAGGGGCAGGGCGACAGGGAGGTGAGGATGGGGACGGGCAGTTGTTGCCAGAGCAGGTCGGCACCAGCGGTGGTTGAATCCCCTCCTGCCCCTCTCACCCTCCCTCGGCCACGCGCAGAGGGGGATTCAACCGACTCACAAACGCGACCCACGGGGTCAGATTTGCGCTCTTCCAGTCGCAAATTTCGGCGTGAACATGCGAGAAATTTCGAGGAGGGGGGAAGCTTCTTAGAAGCACTCCTGCTTCTTAGAATGCGCAAGCCTTCTCTACATGCACAGGGCCGGCGCCTGGCTTCCCTCGAAGAAGCCTTCCTTGTGTGCGCCCCCCCCCCCTGGCGCCCTCGCACGGGTGCCAAACAACACAATCGCCATGCTCGTTCCTCTTCCTTTCTCTTCGTTCCCCTCCCCTCTTCGCCCCCGCCCCCGCCCCCCCCGCGCGCGACGCAGGAGCTGGAGCCCCAGGCCGCCCAGAGCCCGCACACGCAGGTGGGCCGTCTGCCCCCCCCCCCCCGCCCCCCCCGTCCGCACGCCTTCCCGTGATCGCTGCCGCGTCTGGAAAAAACTCTGGCTTCTGGCGTGCCTCGCCGCCGGGTCTGGCCCACCACGCTGCACCACGGCACGCCACATGGCGGTTGCCGAAAGCGGGTATGTCTGGATGCCCAGACCTCGGTCTGCTTCCAGCGCCTTTCTACTTCAAGAATCGATCTGCTTTTGCTGTGTTGTGGTCTCCCCTGGGAGGGCCCGAACTCAATACGATGCGACGTGCTTCGACTAGAAATGCGTGTGACCTGTCACAGGAGCGACCTTTGGTGCTGGCCCATTGGGGTCCCGCGATCGCCGAACGCGATGCGATAGTAGCGTCTTGCGCGCTTTTGTTTGGTCCCCGCGCGGCCCCCAAGAAACCGCGCACCAAATGTCATTCTTGCCTAGGGAATACGACGCGCTATCCACTTCTGAATATTCCCGAGCCTTTCCGAGCCTCCCAGCCCGCGGAGCGGAGCGCCATGCAACAGTCCTGCTCGCAAGGCATCGCGTGTCGCCGTGGCCGCCTCCGCGGCACGCCATGGAAAAGCTCCTGGTCGTTCTCCTCCTTCCTCCCCTCGCCGCGCAGCCAACGGGTCCTTCAGGAAATGGGTTCTAAAGTTGCTTCCTCGCTTCTGGGGTTCTCAGAACCCTCCCCCAGGAGCTGTTCCGAGGCCCAGGCGGGCCTTTGCTATTGCGAACCTTTCACAACGGCCTTGCGATAGCGAGTCATTTCAGGCTAGTCACCATGTATCGCCTTCACGCGCAGCCATGAATGACACTCATGGCGGGGCTCCTGTCGACAGTCTTACCAAGCGTTGGAATCGCTCCCGACATGCCCAACCGGGTCCTCTACTCAAGTCAGTCTTTCAGCCTGGAGGTTGGTGGGAAGGAGGCCAGCAGCATGGGCGTTGGGTGTGTGTGATCAATACGGTTGTCGTAAGAACCTCGCATCATGGACCTGGTGCACACTGTAAGTCGCCACGGACTCCATCTTGCACTTGACAGATTCAGGCACCCAGCAAAGACGGGAACAACTCGGCCACCACAACCGCACTCTCGCTTGCTCTGTAGCTCGAGAGGGGAGGCGACACTGAGGTCGGGGCCAAGTACCGCGCCGTGGCGCAGGCGCGCCGCCAGCCTGTGTCTTGTCAGCCTCTCCAGCTCCAGGTCAATATGGCTCACAGCAAGCCCAGACAAGTCGAGAAGCGTCTCCAGGCAGCTCTCACCAAGTACGAAGAACAAGATCAAGCTCTCCGTCGTCAGCGTACAGAGGTTGCGGCACCTTCGAAGATGCCATCACCGTCGACGCGAGCTACCCCACCCTCAATGAACTGGAGTACGATGTCTCGTCACAGAACCGTGAAACACTCGACAAAAGAAGCAAGCAATTACCTCTTGCAGTCAGGAAGCTTTGTACCCACCTATTCAAGCAGGCCAGTAATGAGGCAAAGAAGACTCGATGGTAACATAATCAGCATGTACTACGTCTCGCCGCCAAGCGCCGCCGTCTGCATGCACAGCCAGGGCCTGCAGGCGCAGACCCAACGGTGGCGACTCCCGCTGGCGTCGGTGGAGGCATGGCTGGAGGAGGTGGCGCGCCAGCAGCAGCGGCTCCCTCAGCAGCAGCAGTTTCGTTGGCACCCCCTTCGGCACTTGCACCTGAGGCTTCAGGCCAGCCACCTGTGCCTTCGGAGCGTGGGCCGTCCTTCGAGGAGCTCAAGTCTCGTGCAGATGCTGCGCTCTCCAAGTGCCAAAGTGAATCCCCCCTGCTCAGGCATGAGATTGTCAGCAGGGGGGAGGCAACACCAATTAGTTACACGAGTATCATGTGGTCTGTCGGCCGTTCTTCTGTCGCTCCCTCCGTGCCAGTGATTGTTGCTACCCCAGCCGTGGGGGGCCTAGGGCGCGCAGTGCGTTGTATTCTGTAGAGGTCGCAACGATTTTTGTCGGGAGATTGCGGTGGTCGGCAGTCCCTGCAGGCATGCGTCTGCGAGCTTGCCAGTTTTGCCTGCACTATGAAGGCCTACCCCGTCCTGACCTCCCCTGGCTCGGCTCCTGTGGTTGTGGTGCTTGGCCCCAGGATCCACGCTGCCCCTCTATCCTCGCCCGTGTCCCCAGGTCCTCCACGCGGTCCTTCGGATTCTGACTGGCTGAGTTCGATCGCCATAGTGATTCGCAATATCAGCTGCAACAGCTGGGGCCCTCGCAAGAAGATGCTTCTTAACGCGCAACCATCGGTCCTCCTAGTTCAGGAGCGAAGGTTAGCCACCAGTGAGAAAATACATCGAGCTTCTCAGTGGAGTGCTCGCAATGGTTGGAAATCGCTTTGGGCCTCTGCAGTGATCGCGGAGGGAGGCGCTTCGGGAAGCATTGCGGTGCTCAGTGCGTGTTTTCTTGGCCCATCTCCCCCCGTGAGGGTCGCGCCACGGCCAAGGACCACCTCGCCCCGCGCGAAGGTGTAGACTCCAGGGGGTTCTACTTTCGATGCTGTCTCTTTTGACTGCGAAGGAACTTTTGACCGCAACATGGGCATCCTTTGTCAGTTAGGTGCGCGTGCGCACGCCGCGGCAGCTTCCTCTGTCATTTGAGGAGATCTCAATTTGTTCCCTGCTACCCTTGGTCGCGACCAAGTTAACGTCCGAGCTCCACGGCCAGTTGAGCCGGGCTCCTGGCCACGCCCGCTCTGGAACAGGAGCGCCCTCAATCCTTGATTTTTCTGCGCGTGCAGCGGGTGCCTGGGCAAGGCCGTCAAGAGCTGCTCGGTTGTCCACGACGCGATGGTGAGCCCCCATCGCCCTGTTGACCCGTGACCCCACAGGTCGCCAGCGTCGTTGGAAGGCCTTCTTTTTCAGGAAATGAGCCGCCGCATCCGAGGGGCCCAGTCTTCGGCCCGAGGCCTCGGCCCCCCGAGGCCTTGCCCGAGCGCAGGCGGGCCTAGATGCGGCTGCCGCTGGGGGTGCCGAGGCGGCCCTCGACCACCCATCGCCAGGCTACGCGGCCTGTGCGGGCGTGGCAGAGGTAAAGTTGGTTCAGATCACGGGTGCGGAGTTGGCTAGCATGGGGACGCGCAGCCAAGGACCGCAGCTTGATGTGGCGAAATCTTGTTGGAATGGAGCGCCCAGGTATCCAGGACATCGGGCCATCGCCTGGCTGGTGGCTCAGCGTCGCGCCTACAATAGTTTGCGCGGCCAGGACCCAGGCGCAGGAAGCCAGGCTTGAAGGCTAGGCAGGTTGCTCGTTTCCTCGCCAGCGTACATGTCGAGTGATTCTGCCATGGGCGCTAGCTCGTTTGAGCAAGTCCGCAGTTTTATCTCTTCGTCGAGTAGCCAGCAATTTTGTTCGACTCAGATCTAAGCAGGCTGACGCTATCCTCGGTGTTCTTTGCGGCGTGGCTGCCCCGGCGGATGCCACTTTCAGTCCTCGTTCTCAATCTGGTTAGCGTGCGTGGCTTGCCCGAGGGGTTGACCAGGGGGCCAGGAAAGTTCGTGCGATTGTGAAGGACCCAACCCCATGGCGCCCACCTCCACGTTGTCCAGGGCCGGAGCTATTGTGGCTGACTCCGTCAACCTCCTGGCCAGTGAGGGCGATGACTTCTCTGCATTCTGGGGGCAAGGACAAGGCTACCTGCGCTTTCCTTCTGCACTTAACCCCTTGCGCGCCTCCCCTGAGGGCCTCAGTGCCGGTGGCAAGCAATGCAAACAGACCTAGGCTATCACTTGCGATGGTTTTGACTTGTCTTACGCTGGACTCATAGCGCCTGGCACGCTTATGGAGTTGATGGATTCACTCGTGCAGCTTCCCAGGCAGGTCAGTGATGTGCTCCTCGCCCTCCTCACTAAATCCACTGGCGATTGCAGACCGATCGGGATGTTCTGCTTCTGGTATACGGTGTTGGGCAGTCTCCGACGGCCCCATGCCCTGTCCTGAGAGCTGCAACGCCCCCGCAGGCACTCGGCTGCCAGTGCGCTTCGCGGGTCTCCGGACGTTGTTGGAGACATTTGCATCGAGCTGAGTTCGGGACCCCCAGGAACGAAGTGAGTGCCAGCCTCTTTCAAGGTGCGTTCAGTGTTTGCTCGGCATACGATCCCCGCATCATCCCCCGCGTGGAGTCTGTTCGAACAGGTCGAAGCTAAATGGCACTGTTATGCAGCGTTTAGGGCACCGAGTTAGCGCGTTCCCGTGTTCTGGTGGCTCGGTATTCTTCCTATGCCGCAGGTGCAAGTACCTTTCCACAGGTGGAATGATTAAAGGCCCAGGTGAGCGGGGCGAGGGATCTCCGAGCAGGAATGCAGTCACTGGTTGGCGCCTCCTTTGTCGTGGCTTCCACGCCCCACCATAGGCGCAATCATGTTACAGTGTCGATCGAGAATGTACTTGAACTGTTTTACTTGTGCTTCCTTTCTTTCTTGTCCTGTGTAGAGCGTCGGCCTTTTTTTTACATTGTGGTTGCGCCGCGGAGGCAGAGCCTTGTCTGTGGTGGACTTGGTACAGTCCGTCTGTTCTGTGGCCTCAGTATCGCTGTGCGCTGACCCCCGTCCTGGTGTTGCATGGCCCCCGTGGGCCATGTGTGCCAGAGAGGGCCATCCGGGCCTGGGCCTTAGGTGCAGGTCTCACGTCAGGTGCCCAGCAACACCCTTGCCTTATTTCGGCTGTGCGTGATCAGTTGAGGTAGATGTCTTGTGCAGCTGACTGGTGCCTCGTCTGTCCTGGCCTGGTGAGACACCAGTCTGCGCTCTGCGTCACCGCCGAGTGCCAGCCTCTGTGCTTTGATCATTCTGCGTGGCTCATTGTTCTCACTGCTTCATCTGCGGATGCAGTGAGCAGTCGCCATTGTGGCTCACGTGGCGCGGCCGTCGAGGTCCAAAAAGGACCCCCGCAGGCCCCTGGCCATTCGAAAACCTGCGCAGGCTGAGGAGGTGGTCCCAGGGGAAGCCCCGAGGTCCAGGATTCATTTCCATCAG